CTCACAGACAGCTGGAGAAGGCAGTGCCATCCCCACACTACCTTGAGCATTCCTGTACTTTGAAAGCACAGAAGCCTTGGGAAAGGAGAAGGTCAAGAGATCACATAGGAACAAGATACAAAGCTATGCAAGTCTCGCAGTAGCTTCTGTTCCTCCTGCTTGTGAGACCACGGGGTGTCCCCCTGCGTCATGGTGTAAGTTTAAGCTTCCTCATACTAATAAGTACTGCTTGTACTGTATGTGTGCTCCCTTCCATGCCCGAGGAGTTTCTTGCTGCCTGCAGGGGTCTCTGAGGGTGAATGTGCTCAGAGGAACAGCTGTGCTTTCTTCATAGGCAAGAGATACCATGGGCTGCAGGTTGTGCACCTGGGAGTAGAGCCCTGCTGGATAATAAACAGCAGGCACACGGTGTGTGAGGAAACAGCAGCAGAATTGGGGTAGAAGTAGCAGAATCAGTTGTTATTCCATAAGCTGCTAACACAGAAGTAATGGTACCATCAACACACTGCCATCAGGCCACTGTCCTGAGATTGCCACAGTGCATAGGCAGAAGCTGTCCCATATGCCAGCACATTTGGCCATTGTCCTGCTGCCCAGGGATGGTGCTGATGAAGTGTCAGACACCGTCAAATCCCACACACACCCTCCTGGGGCTCAGCTGGGTTGTCTCCTGCTGCTGGTTTATGCAGTTTCGTGGGGCAAACCTCAGGCTCCTGGGCACAGTGACCCCATGCCACGTGTCCCTGCAAGGGGGGACTTCTGTCCTCATGGGTGAGCAATGCTAGGAAGTTGATAGCACAGGATCAATTAAACCCGAGGAGTTATTATTTAACACTCCCTAGAAAACCCATGTATTGTGCACACGTGGCTCCTGTGAAGATGACTTTGGACTTGTCCAGTTTGAACTATTCCCACTTGTTCTCTCACTGGATCCTGTGGAGAAGAGGGCAGCACCTCCCTTTCCAGGTATCCTCACAGAAAGCTGCATGAGGTCACCCTGCAGCTTCCCTCTCTCCATAGATACACCAGAGGAGTTTATACTGGATATCAGGACACGGTTATTTATGGAGAGGGTGGCCAAACCCTGGAACAGGCTTCCTGGAGAGGCAGTCAATGCACCAGACCTGGCAGGGTGTGTGAGGCATTTGGAGAACGCCCTCAACAACGGGCTGTGACTCGGTCAGCCCCGAGCCGCTCAGGCAGTGGAACCAGATGGTTGTTGTGGGTCCCTTTCCATTGAAACATCGCATCCCATCGCATCCCATCCCCTTACCCGGGCTGGCGGAGCGGCACACGCCGCCCTCCGGCACCACCTGGTGGCGGATCCCGTTCACCTCAGCTGTCCCCGAAAGCTGCAGGGGCACATCCTGGAAAATATCCTGGAAAACATCCGGGAAAACATCCCGGAAAACACCCTGGCTCAGCGCACACACAGAACGATACCGGACTGGCCACCCGGTGATCCAGTCTCACATTTCACTTAAGCCGAAGGCATCGGGAGCACCTTGGGCTCCCGAAAACTAAGCCAACCCCACCCGTCCAGCCCGCTGAACCGCGAGGCTGCCTGGTGTGAGCAGGAGAAGAAATCGGGATGTCACGGAGACCTCAAGTGACAGGACTCGAGAGAACAATGCAAACCCCACAGCCAACCACCCTGCAAACAGAAATGCCATCTGACCATCCTCTGCCGACTAGAAAAAACAAAGTGAAAGGAACACGGGAGAGGCGAGTTTCCCAGCATTGTTTGCTAAAAGGCGGTACCTGGGGCACTGCAGGCAGAAGCACGAACAGCAGCATTATATCCCGAGGCTGCAGTTGCCCGAGTGCGTCCTGAGGGACCCAAGTGCTGCAAAGCCACAAGCAATACCTGTTGTGCAAACCAATGCCAGCCACTACCCAGAAATTTTTGAACACTTCCCTGCTAGCTTTTTTAGTGGGCTCAGCTGGGTTTGCTTTAGGTGAAAATGCTACCATCTGCTACAATTATGTAATTAACCTTCATAGTTCAGACTTAATGATGCTCATTAGGGTTGAGTGTTTTTATTGGCTGAGTGCTGTCACCAGCTTTGCATGGAATTGCAAAGGCAACTCTTAAGGGCCATAGTTTGAAGCATAATTAGCAATAAGTGAGTGTTACACAGGGGCATGGGTGAGGAAAGGCAGAGGACTAGGTGGGAGCTTAATTTTATTCCGTGCTGAGGCTGGAATGCAATGAACGGCAGAGGTCTGTTACACTTGGGTCACTAACAACAATAATCAGCTACAGCAGTGGCAGCAAATTTGGAATATATGTGTCAGGACATCACAGGATCCCTGTCATCCACTGTTGGCTGTGTGACTTCCATTTCCTCAGCCAACCTTTCTCCGAGTCCAATTCACAAAATTTCTTTATTTATTCTAACATTAGTGTATTTTTGCTGCAGGTCTTTCTCAAGCAGTTAAAAAAAAAAGTAGCAAATAAAGTATTTAATTTAAGAAAAATGACCAGGATAAAAAACCGTGTGGCTTAATTCATCTGTGCCTGTAAGACTCCTGAAAGATTACTGATATGCCATAAAAATATGTAACCACTGTTCATGCCACCTTTAACTACAGCCATTCTTTGATCTGTTTTGTCCAAGAGGAATGTAGCTCCTCACATACTCTTAAAGGTTGGATTCATCACCTCAAATACACATAGAAATAACCTGCATCACAAGGCGTTACAATCTTCCATAACCCAACAATTTATTTAAACTTACATCACAATGAGAATCTAATAATAAAATACATCAGTTCACACCAGTCTGCATTGCCATTTTTTAAGGGTAAGCATCTTTCTTCACTTTATATTAAAACTTTACAGAGGTAAAAACTACTGCGTTGTACCCGCAGCTCTTGAAATTTGTTGTAACATTAGGCAGGTTACAGAGGAACTTTCAGAGCTAATTACACTTCAGTTAACCTCACATATTTGGCACATCTGAATGCTTTTTATTTTCTTCTTAACATAAAATAATTCTATAGCAAGTCAGAGAATCATGGACATAAAGCATCACTATCCAATGGCGAGTGCTGCCTAAAAGCATACAAAAATTGCATCATTTGGTTACAAAATAGATAATTCTTAGTTCTTTATCCCAACTCTTAACGTTGAAGTGCCGTGACAGAAAAGGGCCAGGAACAGGGCCGGCCTTGCTGAGTTGTTGCTGGTCCCTTTGCTGCAAGGCTTTAAGTAAATCCCAGAGTGATGTGTTAACAAGATGTTGATGGCTTTTGCCTTGCCAGGTCATTCCTTTCAAAGCACCCTCCAGCAGGTTGGAGGCCACCAGTAAATGTCTCCCTCCTTCTCACATGTTGCTGCTGAAGGGACAAAGTGAACATAGGTTTGGGCAGTGCTCAAGAGGGGTTGTTTCTGCAGGCCTTGGCAGTCTGGTGGCTACAAACTGAAGAGCTAGGTCAGCCACTGCTCAGTCTGGATTTCCTCTGCCTGGCACCACAGTAGCTCTTTCTTTAGAATGTTTTAAGCAGGAATGAAACATTAATGGTAGTGGTGTGCCTGGCACATATTTTCACAAGTGTTTGCAGTTACTCTGCATAAATTTTTAAAGTCTGTAGCTTGTGGGTTTAGGTGTTTTTTGCTGTACACCACAGACCCCAGCTGCTATGAGCTTCTTATTATATTAAAAATAAAAAGCAGCCCACACCACAATACTTGTAATCAGGGTTAGTTTTTCTCTGGCTCTTGAGCTGTACTGTATCAATCAGAGTTTGGCACATTATGTAGTGATTATGTTTCACTGATTGCTAGCTCCATGTACTGATATTTATTTTGGGAGATGGCTATTGCATTGGTTATGTCCCTTCTGCTCATGTTGCTCATAGCAAAGCAGTATGAATGAACTGCTGCAGTTAAGGAGAGACTGACACAGCAGAAGAATAAACATGTTAGAGCTCTCTGGCTGTATAATAGCTAGATGATCTCTGTGCTTTAATGGGAAATAAACATTTGTACTTGTCATGGCAGGGTTGCATTCTGTGCATCTTTCCAAAGCCCAAATCAAAAACAAAGCCCATTTTCTTGATTCAGCTTTCCTACTCCTCCTTTGCTGAAGCCTCTAATCTGAAATCCATTTAGTGGGACCAGTGAGCATTCCTAGAAGGACCTTGTGGCTGCTAAGCATCTCTGCTTAGAGTCTCCCTCTTAGAGAAAGAAATTGAAGAAAGGACCATAATACTTGCTGTATTAGGGAAAGAAAGAAATTACACAGATAACGGAACAGTTGTTGGTGGGGATGTTTGAAACTTACAGTAAGAGAAATTTCAAGGTATCCACGGTGCTCTCTGCACGTATGTACTGAGCCTGAAAGGCAGCCCTGACAAAAACCCTTCAAAAACCAAGCTCACTCCCAGAGTCAGTTTTTGCCTCACATCCACAGTGAGAATTTATCCCTGCGTTGACTTCCATCTCCTAGTCAGCAGTTGGTCTGAACACAGCTCGAGTGAAGGGGGGTCCTTCGGGAGACAGGAGTGCAGGACACAGAGCGGTGCAGAGGGAGGAGCTCTGGTGCAGAGGGAGGAGCTCTGGTGCAGAGGGAGGAGCTCTGGCTGAGCCGGTCGGTCCGTGGATGGAGCTGTAGCACCTCTCCTTGTGCAGAGCAGAGGACGCTGCTGAGGCGGACAGATGTTAGCTGGATACCTTCACGTGGACATAGTGCAACTTCTGCTCGTTTAAAAAGCTGTGGGAAAGCAGCCATCTGCTCAGTGCCAGAGTGTGGACGAACAGCAGCTACAGCCCAGCTCACACCCATGGCTCAAGTGACAGCGGGAGTAAAAGCTGATACGTTGCAGGTGCGTTTCTGGCACCTGCAGTATTTTCATGCTCTTTACAACCTTTGCAATTTAAAGTGTCAAGGTGTGACAAACTATGTAGCAGTGCATTCCTTATATTTCATATACAAAAAAGGGCTCAAGGCTGGGAGCAAGAAGGCACAAACTTGGGAAATAACATAGCTGAGGAGTTTACACAAAAGTACTGTGTCATTTATTAGGCATCACTTAGCACTTATTTTCACATTTTGCCCCCAAATTACCCAAAGCAACATAAATTTCCCCTGCTTCCTTTTCCCTTCGCACCCTTCTTTTGGATAAAGCTGCCTGTGCTCTATAGATACAGTTGCTCAAGAATATAATGTGAACACAGATAAATACATCATACACAGCAAAAAAATGTATTATAGTACTACAATAGTCAAATAATGTAATTAGCCTCCAGCTACGGCAGTGCCTGTGTGCTCTGGGGAACAAGTTCACAAACAGCAAGCGGGGCCACTGTACAGGAGCAAACCAAGGTTGGCAGTGCTGGGCAGAGCAAGGGGCTGAGGGGAGGCTCTCCGGGTGCCAGAGCAGGCAGATGGCTGCAGTTGGTCTCAGGGATCCACTCGCCTGGGAAACCCAACCAGGAGATTTCTTCAGCCCGTATCAGTTCGGCAGTGGGTCCTTGGAACACCTTTATGTTTGTTCATTGTGCATACATATAAAGTCACCCCACACTCCTCCTGCTAGGCTATGTTTTCTTTATATATATATATATATATTTATTTTTTTTTTTTACCTTTTAACTTTTGAAATTTTTTTTCTTACAACTGTTAAAAAAGTTTCATGGTAAAAATAGCTCACTATATGATACATATACCCAAAGTGGTGCGATACTTTATATAATAAAAGATGAAAATAGTCACTTTCCATAATAAAAATAAGTTCTATTTTTTGCTTATTTTACAATATACTTAATAATTCTTTTCTTCTTCTTCACTCTGCAAGTAAATAGGTCCCGTTTTGATAGCGCTTCTGAGTCGATTAAAGTGGCAGGAGACTGGAGAATGGCTTTATAAGCATTTTGAGCAGCCGCATTCCACGTGTCTCTCCAGTTCTTCTGTGAAGGTGGAGCCGTCCACGCACTGGAAGAAGTATTTCCGCCGTTTGCTCCGGAGGGGGATGCAGCACTGCCCGCTCCCACAGCTGCCACGGCATTCCAGGCGGGGCACTTTGGTGGCAGTGGCACAGGACGTGTAGCCCTGCTGCTTCCTGACTACTTCTCGAATGATGTCACCTTGGCAGAGATTCTCTGGGGAGACAAGAGAGATGTAAAGAAAAAAAAAAAAAAAAGAAAAAAGTGGTAACTATTTTGCCAGATACTCCCAAAAACATCAGCAAACAGCCCTGTGCTCGTAACGTGATTCAAAACCAGATGGCATGAGAAGGACCCTAATCTTTTACTGCTTTGTACCTGCCATCAACACAGAGCTTGTGTTCCACAAATGTGTAATATCCGGTGCAAGGCCGAGGCCAACAGGCCTGCTGGCTTTGATCAGCAGTTCTGGAAATGCTTTAATGAATGCTGAGTGTTGAATCCTGCAACACTCCTGCAAAGTAGGAGTTAGTTTTACCATGTCTGCTTCTCAGGAGCAAAGGTCAGCCTGCTCTGCCGGGCACTGGTGGTCTGGGATACCTGAAAATGTCTGTGCTGTTCTGCAGTCACTGTGGATCAGCCAGACACACTTTGGTGAGGCTGTACATGTGTGTAACTTGAAAAATCTGTGGTTCATTCACAGGAAAAGCACAACCTAAATAAAAATAATATAAGCCAGCTCCTTCCTTCTGTACAGTAACAAAAATAAGACAGAAAGGACAAAGTTGAAATTCAGTGAGTTTCCAGAGAGTCTTTTCAGGGCAGGGCAAAAGAGCTGCCCTAGTGGAAAGTCCAGCATGATCTGTGGGATTCCCCAGGAAACCTGCTCAGCTGCGTCCAAGGGAGCAAGCCAAGAATCTTTCCTGCCACTTCATGTGAGCAGCACCTCCTTGGTATTCAGGATACCTCCTTTCCCAGCACTGCAATTAACTGGTCCCTGCTTGCTGAGGGTAAACCTCACAACAACCTCTCCTTTACACATTGCACCTGAATCCCAGGACCAGCAAACCTTGAGGATTCGGGAGACAGAATAAAACCCTTCACTGCACACGTCCCCCTTTCCATATGATTGGACAGTAGCCACTTAGTGCTGTGTGGTTCTTTTCTCCTCCCTGTATGGCTCTGCAGAGACTGGCTTAGCTTCATCTTCTGCTATTTGCCATTTAATCCCGATACAAATCCCATGGAAGAGAGATGGAAACAGAGGTGTAAAGCAGGAATGCAGCAGAGCAGCAGCCCAGGCCCTGTGCCCAGTCCTACCTCTGTCACAGAGCTCTCCGCTGTAGTTGGGGTCGCATTCACAGAAGGGCTCCCCGTGCTCCGAAACTTTACACTGCCCATGGTTGCATTTCAAAGTCCTGCAGGGATTTGAGGAATTGTTCTTCTTGTCACAGTACATGCCCGTGTAGCCCTCTGTGCACTTACAGGTGTAAGCAACGTTGGCTGCCACGCACTTACCATGCAGACACCTGGAGAGAGAGAAGCATTCAGAGCTGGCCCCTGTTAGATGGGAATGTTCCTTTTCCCAGAAATGATTGGTTTTGGCACTTCTGCCCATTTAATTCCAGGACACTAATCCAAGACCAGCAGTTTAGTGTCAAACACTCTGAAGAACCTGTGAGTTTTCAGTGAATACTGGATGTATTCAGAGAATACATCTAGAATTTGTGAACCTAAGGCATCTCTCTAAAAAGCATTAGGCTTCTCTGTGAGCACAAACGCTTGGCATCCACACAAGACAGCTCACACTTACAGCATCAGCACGTGGAACTAAGTGCCAACAATCAAGCTGCATGCCCAGGCTTCCTGAGCAGAATTACTGTACAAATAATATCAGGTGATGAAAACCAGCGTGATAAATGAAGGTGCCAGTAGAAAAGCTATGCACAGACTTATCAGGCAGGCAGATGTAGTTGAAGGGTTCCCTGGCTCTTGTGGTTTGCACTGAGCTTTGGCATTTCCAAGGAATACCACAGGGTGGGGTGTTGATCCTTAGCAGGTTCTCTGACACCATCCCCACTTCTGGGGCAGGGGCTTGAAACGGACTGAAAACAGGGAAGAAGCCAAGGGAAAAGTGCTTGGGGCTTATAAACCTTTGCTATAACAGGTCCTACTTGACATAAATAAAAATAAGAGAGATGTGGGTTTATGTCAAGTAGGACCTGTTATAGCAAAGGTTTATACTAGAAAGAAAATAAATAAAAATAAGAGAGATGTGGGTTTATTTTCTTTCTAGTACTTTCAAATTGTTCCCTGTTATGTTGAATTCTTCTACATTTAATTTTTAAGCTTTGAACTAAAAAGCACAGATAGCAAAAGCAGTTTCAGTCAGATCAAGACATGCAAAATAATACAGGGACTCACGGTCTATATATAGCAGCATTTTCTGCCCCACTAACCAGAGGTTACCTAATCTTTACAGGTGCATTTCCTCACTGAGATAAACCTTATGAGTGTTGGAGCAGACACCTGCCTGCAGCACTCTGGGCTCCCCTGGACACACAGGACTTGGCTTTAAGGAGACAGCTCCAAAAAACTGAAGTGACTTCATGAAAGGTGGGACAGTGTGTGAGCATCAGAAATACACACAGCTACTTTCTTTAGCAAGGGGCTACATTCATGATTGCCTCACCCTCCTTGGATTATAAGAGAAACAATCTCTCATCATGTGGACATCTGGAATTCCCTTATTTTTCTCTTGTCCAACCACAACAGCTTTGTGTTGACATGGAAAATTCAAGGAAACATTTGGGTTTTCATACCTTTGGTTTGTAAATTATCAGGTGCTTCTCAACATCTTCCAGGGTTCAGTATTTTGCAGAATTAGACCCAGAAGCAAGTCTAAAATGGTACCTCTATGAGGTTAAATCTCTGCCTTTAAGAGAGTGATTATTCACTGTGTCAATTTACCTGTCAAAAGTATGTGCTTGTAAAAAGGCCCTTCCACAAACAGTGCAACCAAAGTAGCTTCTAGAACAAAAGTACTTCCATCTGCTTATGAAACAGCACTGAACTATGTATCCTGCTACTCTGCACAGGACTGTTTCCTCTGTGCTTGCCATGAGAAAGCCATTCATCCTGTGTTTCTGTTGGAGATGTGGTTATGGAGCCTTTGAACAGTGAACGCTTTACGCTCACACTCCCTTCTCATGCAACACCACATTATCCTTTAAACTTGCACTTTAAAGGGGTGTTTCGGAGTGTAATAATTAAGTCAACTATTTGGGAAATATAAAACTGCTCACACATAATGGGTTAGTCTGAAGACTGGGTCCAGTGCTGCTGTGAGCAAACCCCTAAAAATGTGTACCTCGTGCTCACGGGCAGCTCTGCTCTGGGTAAGTGGGTCACCTCCTCAGAGTCAAGCCATACGCATTAACAGGAGGGTTTGTATTTTGATGTGTAGAATCACTGCTGAAAGCATGACCTGCAGCATTAACACCTGACCTCCTTCAGGCTCATGATGTCCTTTGGAGGGTCAGCAGGCTCGGAACAAGCAGTGGAAATTGAGAGCTGCCACAGGTGCTGACTCACAGCTGTCAATAATTTCACCAAAAATAGTCGGATGTGGTTTCACAAGATGAAATGTGAAATATGCATTAGGTGTAAAGCTTTTGCCCTCCCATCAGCACTTGTTTGAGCTTACTTGTGGTTAAGACACGGGTCTCCAATTTCCTGGTCACACAGGGGGCCCATCCAGCCTGGGTGACACTCACAAATCACACTCGTTTTCTCCAGGGACCGGCAGATACCGTGCTTGCAGATGTTACAGGACTTGCAGCCAGGAAGGACTCCCAGTGACTGCTGTGGCAAATCCTTGAAATCCTGCAGCTCGTTGTTGATGCGGACATCGTGGATACATCCATGGAAACCGTTTGGTGTCTTATCTGCACCCTGGCGCAGGGGAGATAGTCCAGTAGAGGTTGGGATCCCTTCAGATAAAAGCAAAAGGGGAAGGTTCACTCACAGTTACAATGATAATACATAAATGGCAACTGGTAACGTTTCTTTTGTCACAGCCCCTTAAAATCTTTAAAGAATTAATTTGCATAGGACCTGTGTAAGGTTACACAGAATTTGTTATCCATAAATAATGCCACTGTTAAAGGTGGTCTTAAAACTAACCCAGCATCTTTGTTTAACTGTGTGTTAGGAGGGAAGTTGCTAGACCACGTCATTTGGGGAGATGGACAAAATTGGGGGCACATGAAGGCTCTGTGTTAACACTTACTGTAGGTTAGGAACAATTGCTCTGAGGTAATTTAATCAATTACTTTAACTAAACCACCTGCAGTGGAAGGGCAGCTGGCATCCACGGGAATGCTGCACATGGATAGGTGGCACATGAAGAACAGTGAGGGTTTAGAAAGAAGCAAGAAGAATTTTAATAGGCAACAAAAAAGTCTCCACTGAGCCCATGGCTTCCAATAGTCCTTCATTCCAGGTCTCAGGTTTGTCCTGAGAATTTTTTTGTAGGTACCTTTTGAGAATTGGTATCAATCCACTGTGCTCATCCATTAACAAAACTTTTCCATGTGATTATTTCCCAAGCTCTCTGTATAAAAATTGTTGCAGGGTTGGTATCTTTTATGCTATGCTAGAGGAAGAAAATGCAATGGCCTCTGCACCAGCAGATTATCTTTGATGCACAGTGCTCTTTAATAGCCTGTGACATTCTTAATAGGAGCCAATCATAAAATTTCAGCTCTGTACAAAGCAAGATTAGCCGTTTTTCTGTTTTACAAGGGCAATATTCAGAGTTCTTTTAGAAAAATGTTATTAAAGGGAATTATTTACAAAAGGTTTGACCAGCACCAAATTAAGTTGGTAAGAGTTTCTACTATTGGCTTCAATGATCTCATTAGAAAAAGCCCAAAGACTTTCTGAGTCTTATTATTCTGCTGACTGAAAATTCAAGAACTCTGTGTCACTGGAAGAGAGAGATTTCAACATTCAGTCCAGAATAGAGCTAGGGGGGTTCTGGCAAAAACAAATCCACTGGGCAGAGACCAGCCTTTGTTCTGTCTCTCATAACCAGACACCTAATCAGTGGGATAGTCATTATTCTGGGCATCTGTTCCCCACCCCACTTGGCTGCTCCTTCCCCCCAAATTCAGTATTTAATGTGAAAAAACTTCTTCACTGAAGTTTGGTCAATTGTAATACCTCTCCAATACTGAAACTCTGGCTTCAGTTTCTAGTGAGAAAACTATTAACCAAGACATTCTTAGTCAGCTTGTGTTTTAATATGTTATTTAATCACACATCCTCTTCCCCCCAGTTTTCAAACCCCTATAAAATTTCCAGCAGAAATACTGCTTGGCTGTGGTATATTTAAACCTACTGACTATTGATTTGCTTTTCTGCTGTGATTGATTGTGATACTTCCACTGTGTTCTTCAGCCACAACACCTTGGTGCCAGCCAGTTCTGAAAGCTCCAGAAATGACAAGTGGACTGTTCCTGCCATGACTGTGTGACACAGAACCTGCCTGTGCTGAGTTAACTGCCTGTGCTGACCCTGTGGTGGGTGCCAGGGGGCTGTGGAGCACAAAGCACAGCAGCAGAGGTGGTGTTTCCAGGCTCTCTGTTCAGGGAACCAACCGGTGGCTGAGGGGAAAGACAAATTACTAGTGCCCCCACTCCCACCCCCTGTCCTGGAGAGCCTTCCATCCACGGGATGGAAGATGGTTTGCTTCTGAGAAAATATGTTAAAATCTCAAGTCCAGAGTAATTCTCAGTACCTCCAATGTAGAGGGGTGTGTTGAGGCTGACAGAAGACTGTTTCTGGAGTTTTCCCAGACTCTTGGGAGCCCCCTTGTCCACCACCAGGTTCAGAGTTTGATTCAGCATCACGAGTTCCACACTGTGGAACTGCCCATCATTTACTGTTTCCACACTAAAAGGAAAAGCAAAGAAGAGAATTAGAAGAGGAACAAGGAGCAGCCTCTTCTTCTGTGGCATCCTGTGTCCAAGCATATCTTGCACAGCACAGCTCCACTCGGTGCTCCTTTACAGTCACTGTGCTCTCAACATTCCCTCCAGGTACACAGTGACACACTGCTGATGCCTGTGCAGGCAGTACTGACACATGTGATGCTTGAGAAAATAGCTAATCAGGACAGGAGCTACTGGAGTTGTGTTTCCCAGGGCAGAAAAGCAACGAGGAGTTACACAGCATACTGGCTTCGGTGACAAAGCTACCTAAAAATCCCATTCTGTGCTCTCAGCCACAGCTTGCTGCCCCTCTGTCCCACTGCCTGGTGGGCCCGTGCTGCAGGCCAGATCACTGAAATGATTGATTCTTGGATGGCCAGTTAAACACAAATTATTTCACAGGGGCAGGGAGGGACTGCAGTCTGGGTAAGACAGCAAGGGCCTCTTGAAACCAGCATTTCCTCACGGCAGAAGTGACTTGTAACTACGTGCTAAGGAATAAGGACAGGCTGAGTTCCTTAAAGCTACAGAAGGAATTCAGGATTGTTTGGCTTATAAATGACCAGGGTGCCTTGTTCAATACCAGACAGCAATACCTGAACACAAGGAAAACTGAGAACTCTTTGGGAGACATTTAGGTGTAGATCAAGTCTTGAGAATAAGACAGCAGGAATTAGGGGGAGGGGGGACAGGGAGCAGGCAGCCATGTGAGCAGACAAGTTATTAAAAGCACCCTGTATTTATTGCTCATGTGTTTTCAACACGGATTTTTTAGATGCATGAAGCCTGCAGTGATTTAGATAACTCGACAGCTCTTCCATAGAACCACAGAATCAATTAGGTTGGCAAAGACCTCTGAGATCATCAAGTCCAACATATGATGGAAGACCACCTTGTCAACCAGATCGTGGCACTGTGGAGGTTCTGGTACATATAGATAAAGACAGAACACACCAACTGTGGGATTTGGGTATCCTGAGATACTGCTTAGACAACAGCCTGGATGTGGAATTGCTGCACAGGTGGTACTCACCACATTACAGCGTAAAAGGTTAGTTTTAGGAATGGGTTTCTGCTCGTTCAAATGGTCCACAAGCTCAGCATCCTCTCTCAGTAAGTTACAAAGTCACAGGTCAGATTCCTTTCAGGTGTTTTGCAAAGCTGCAATGTCAATGTCTCTGAGCTATTTACCCACACCTTCTTCACTGTCAGTGGATAGACACACGCATCTCTAAGGATGAATCACCTTTTAGATGTGTCCACCTCAACCTAGAATACATGCTGCCCCTCTTTAATGCCCAGTCCAGCATAGCTGTTGTGTAAAGGTATTGTAGCAAGGAAATCTTGACTTCAGAAACAAATTACATGCCTTGGAGATTACCAGAATTCAGTCATTGCTGGAAGAAGTTTCATTTTTATAGTGTTTTATGGTAGACCTGACATAACCAATTATACTTGAGCAATGTCAGGCAGCAAGTCAGCACTGCAGGCATTTCTGAGGATGTGCAGTTTAAGAAGAGCACACTGCTGATTCAGAACTGAGCTAATGTGCCCCTGCAGTGCTGCTCTCCCCACAGGTTTTTGGGATGAATCATGGACACATACAACCTTAAGAGTTTACCTAAGGTTACACAGGTTGTAATGTGACAGCAGTACATGAGCACTTTCACAGTGCGGCTTTACATAAACAAGAGGTTAGTTCTGCCACGGAAAAGCTCCTGGGAAAGCTCTGCTGGCTGAACTGCTCATTCCTGACCTCCAGGAAAGTGCTGGGCTGCGGCTGCTGCCCATGCTCAGGATGGTGAGAGAGCCCTGGGGAGAACTCAAGAACCTGGAGCTAGCAGTACTCTTTGAAGTGTTTTAAAGAAAAAACTTAAAGGCTTGACATTGCACAATAGATCCAGGAGACAGTCTGGCTCAGAATAGTTGTAGCAGGGCCCTGGCAAGGGCAGTGAGTTGTGTGGGCTGGGGTGAGAGGTGTAGGATGTATTCCAGACTCATTGCCAAAGGTGCTGCAGTGTGTGCCCCTCAGAAGAGCAACCCTGTCCTCACTGTAGCCAAGTCACTGAATAGGGGCCACACCTCCATCAGGCTATTGTGTGGATTGACAACTCAAATAAGTTTGAAAACAGCTGGTCCAAGCTTTCTGTTTAGATACTCTGGAATTCTGCTAAGTATCTGCTGCATTACAAGGAACAGCTGTGCTACAGCAACGCCGACTGGGTGATCCCTGTGTGCTCCCTCCTTATCTCACTGCTGCCTTGCAATGCCTGATTCCTGGGGGGGAAGCACTTGGACTTCCAGCTGAAAGGTGAGAGATAAATGGAAATGCACATTTGTAATTGTTAGCCTGTGCAGAAGTGCCAATGAAGGGAAGAAGCAGAGCCAAACCCCATGGGCTGTGAGAGCTGAGCACTGCAGAGGTGGGAGGGATGGCTGTAGGACAGGGAGCCCTTCCCCAGTGGGATCAATAGCTGGAGCTAACACACAAACCACACAGTTATCTGCAGAAGGCCAAGCTATGGCCATTTGTCAGAGGACAACATTATCACATCTGGCAGGGCTGGCTCTTCCCAGGGCCAGGATTTCACAGGCATTCATCACCTACTTCTCCACAGGGTGTGCTTTTTCCAGATTATGCCTTGACTAGCAGGAAAACAAAAGTCTGTGAGTCCTGGTGATGGAAGCAGCCACCCCACACGGTGCTCGTGCCTTTCAGCATACCCAGAGCTGATATTTTTGTTGTAGAGGGAGTGAGAGGTCCCAGTCTGCAGGTACACGTGGAAGAGCATTACTCTGTTCTGACCCTTTCACTTTCTAACCCTGAATTAAAATACCCAGTGCCTGGACTTAAAGAAACAAAGTAACTCATAGGCATCACCCAACACTGCAGTTTTGTAAAGCAGATAAAGTCAGAACGGTCGAAGCGCTCATTTGCTGTTTGAGAAGACACACAGATATGATAAAAAAGCTGTATGGAGACAGCCAGGATGGCAGGAAATCCCCAGGCAGCAGAGACTTGTGTGAGAGCACTTACTGCTGCTGCTGCTGACGGACAGGCGTTCAGACGCCTTTGGATCTTAAGAGATGGAGACAACAGTGGGGGGAGAGACCGGTGGTGAGAGAAATGCTACATGAACTCTCCTTAGAGCCTCTTCTGGGCCTTGAGGAGCCCCGGCGATGGTCGGAGACAGCTGGAGACAGTGGCTTGGCCGGGGATGAAGGGCGGGCGGCCGCTGAGCAGCGCAGCCCGCACCGCTCGGCTCCTCCTCAGCGGCCCCTGCCCTGTTAGGGGTTCGTTAAAACCTTAATTGAACTCTCCCTGGGGATCGGGTGCTCTGACAGGGCTTTTCCTGCCGGGATGGCAGGAGCCATCCGCGGGATGGAGATACCCGCCCCGGCTCGGGATTTACGGGGGTTCCGCCGGCCACCCCGCGCCGGGAATGCGGGACTCCCACAGGGAATGCGGGTGCGGGTCGGGAATGCCGGGTGCGAGGCCGGGAACGCGGAGCGCGGGTCGGGACCGCGGGGTCCAGGCCAGAAATGCGGGACTCGGGGTGGGAATGCCGGGTGCGGACAGGGAATGGTGGGGCTCGGGGCCGGGAATACGGGGGTGCGGAGCCGGGAATGCCGGGGCTCGGGGCCGGGAATAGGGGGGTGCGGAGCCGGGAATGCCGGGGCTGGGGTAGGAGGGAACGGCGGCTGCGGTACCGGCGGCGGGTCAGCAGAGAGCGCCGTGACACCGCCGAGCGCAGCGGCCGCTCCGCCGACACCGACACCCCGCACACCCCACGGACACCGAAACCTCTCGCCGCCCCTTCTGCCACGGCTTCATGGTCAAATCACCGTCCCATGCGTGAGCAAAACCCGGGAGAGGGGAAAAGGAGCGGCGGGAAGAGCCAAAGGGCCGCTGGTTCTGCACCGGCCGCCTCCCCTCGCTGCGCTAAGGATGTCCCGCTCCCGCACCTTTCCAAGGCGTTCATACGGGCGGGAATTTTTAGCTGGCTTCCAGCTGGAGCGTTTTTGGGCCAACACCGTTGGATAGCATATAGTTTACGGTATACCCTTGTTGAAAAAAAAAGGGAGGGATTATGTTTGGAGAGTAAACGCTTGGAAATGTAAGCAAGGATTTTCAGGAATTTAATGGTTAAACTTGCTAAAAAGTAAGCAATAAAAGGGGTCAAAAGTTTCATACAACACAGAAGGACTCCTCAGGACCCAGAGGTGTGCTCAGCCGAAGGTGAGGACCCACCTTGTCAGCATCTTGCCCACTGTGCTCAGTCCCTGCAGCACCTTCACTGCAGTCGTGTCACAAACTGGATGCTGAGAAACCATCTCAGTTCCTTTCCAAGTGGAATCACTTCTGGTCCCTTAAAGCCTCTATCCTGAGGGAAAGGCAGTGCCTTTGGCACAGCCCACTGCTGGCAGGAGGGCTTGTGTAGCTTAGCAGTGTAGCCAACACATCCCAGTTGGAGCTGGCTGCTCTGGGAGCCCTCCGGGGGCTGAGGAGGGGCAGCTGCCAGCCCTCACTGCCCTGTGTCCCCAGCAAAAAGGACACACTTGCTGCTCCTCGACCCAGAGCAGCCCTCACCTTTCCCTTCTCCACCCCACTCATCTTTCCATAGCCCAGGTTATGTGCCTTGCACAGTCCATCACACTGCTCTCACCGAGGTTACCCTCACCGAGAGCTGGCCACGGCACCTGACCAGATTCAGCCAAAAAAAAAGAGGAAAATGGGCATGTGAGGAGAGTCCAGCTTCCACAGCTCATGGGAAGGCCCTGGGTCCAGCACCTTCTGTTCTCTCAGAGCTGTTCTCACAGCGAATGGAGGCCACTAGAGAGCTCTGTGGAAGACACATTAAAATTTCACCTGGCAGGGAGCTGGTCTCACCTATCAGAGCAACTCCAGCATGATGAGCCATTGGAGAGGGCACTGCACACAGGCCACGGACATGGCCTTGC